ATTAAACAAATACAAATGAACAAACTTGCTAGTATTTGTTACGTTGACAGATGTGATAGATAATGAAAATTCAATTCAATACATCAATACGTCATTCAATACGTCATTAATGTGACAGATGTCAAACAAAAGGAGATTATACACGTTATGATTCTATATCTAAGTCTATAGAAAATTTATATAATTTTCTGTTATTTTATAATAACTGTAGGGGAAATATTGGAATTATTTATATGAGAAATTTCACTTAAATGATATGATAATTATTTAAAGACCTAATTTCTTAGGGATTTAATCATGATGATTTAAACACTAAAACACTTGTTTATCTGAGAAATCCTCTTAGTAAATAGGTTTACTAAGACACTAAAAGGAAGTAGATATAGTATAACTATAGTACAGCTACAATAATTGTATGGGACTTACTGTCCTTTCTATACAAATATATATTTAATCTATATCTTTCACATTATAATTATGCAATATATTGCCTCTACTACTACAACATACACAAATAGGACTTATTGTCCTTCCTATATACCTATATATAATAATTGACCTAGCACTTTAATGTGTAATTTATCAGTACTTATGACAACAACCAATTAGGACTTATAGTCCTCTCTATAAAGCTACATAATTATTTAATCTGATTATTTCACAATGTGATTAATCAAACCTCTACAAATATTACAAAAGATCTCTATTACTCTCAACACAATAATAGCTTGTTGGACTTAGTGTCCTCAAACTTATAGAAAACCCAACTGGTTATTTCACGAGACGTTGTTAACTTGTGATTAATCAGTGTCTTTTAAAGGACTTATAGTTCCTTTAGATATATCTCTCTGAATAAATAATTGGTTAATTCACAATGTGGTTAATCAACAATAATATTATATATAATTGACTGGACTTATAGTTCATTCAATAGCACTCATTACTTTTAGTAGCTCTCGACCTATGGGTTGGACTACTCGTTCTTAGGCTCTGGCCTAATCAACAGATGTAACTTGAACCTTGAGTATTCTTGGTATTAAGTAAATAATATTAAATTGACAATGCTATGTTATGATATAGCAATTATCAACATTATATGGCTTGGCCAATTCCAGGGTGTGGAAGGTATCCCCTATCACACAAACCTTCATCTCTATCGGACTGTCTTCACAGGTGATCTCTAATGTCACATTATAGGGCCGAAGGGTTATGTCCCATCAAAGTAGGTTCTGGTGTCTGGGTGATCTCGCTTCTTGGTCTGATCTCTTGTGGAGCCGAAGGGAAACCCCCATTGAGTAAGCTCGTAACAGGGTGACGCTGGGAAACAGTTTCGTACTGTTAGTGGGTGATCTCTATGTCGCCATATAGGACTGAAAGGGTCATCGCCCATGAGTAAGCTCTCGTGTCGGAGTGATCCTGGGATTTCAGTTCAGATCCGTTTGCCTCTGGCAAACACTAATTTATACTGGAAGCATCGTGGGGCTGGTGGAGCCACTGTAATGTTGAAGTAAATGTACTTATGTTTGGTTTGGAACTGAGAATACTCATTCCCTTATTACCATCAGAGTGCATTAATAAATAGTAATACCCTTCCCTACCTTTTTGGAGGAAGAGTTATAGATAGTTGGAAAGTCTTCCACTGGTCCGGGCGTGTGAGGGGCCCGACCGCTCCCCCATTTTTTTTATTATTACAGTTATTCTGTAATTTACTATTAAATTATATATTATATTCTAACTTCCTAGTTACATGAATTATGAGTATAATTCATTAATTATTCTTAATCCTTAAATATTTATCAATCATCTTCATTATTTAACTCCTATCATATACCAATTAAAGAACCTTTTGGTTATTACACACACAACGGGTCCTACATTACTAGACGATCACACATTTATTTATCTGGCCAGATGATCAAGTGTTCTACTATAAGATCTGTTCAATATTAAGTGTTTATTGTAAGGGTTTATATGATTCATAGGGTGTTTGGGGTGTATAAGGCAATATAGGTATGGGGTTATATTGAGGGTGATAAGCCATTCTTTAGAGTAGGTTTCATTGGATTTTCATAGATTTCATTAGGTTAAGCCTTCGTAGGCTTTTCTTAGGCTTTGTAGGTTTTCCATGTGTAGGTTAGTTTAGAGGGTAGTTAGATTATTTAGGGTGCACATACAAAGGGGGGACCATCACAAACTGTCCACTGATGAATGTAAATAGTATATTATTTATTTAACTCTTTATTGCACTAAATACATAAAAATAAACAACATAAAAATTCAACTGAAATACAGTACATATGAAGCATGAAGTACAGATTAAAATATACATATAAAGGTACAAAAGGCGGTCTTATCCCTAGGGCAATCTCTTACAGACAACCTTTGGTTAAACGAAAACATATAGAAGTGGGTAGGTGACGCAACAGTGAATTAATAATTTTTACGTATAATGCTCAAAAACATCAAATACATATTGTATATTATAACAAATAATATATTCTACATATACATACACATATAAATATATACATAGCACACACTACGAGATATGACGAATCTACTAAAATGAAATAAAGAAATAAAATAAATAAAGAAAAGAGTAATGACAGTGAAAGAAAATAGGATATTGACTTGTCCTTTAAACGAAGCTAAGAACTGGGCGTTCCATATAAAGGGTGGTAGCGAGTTCCATAGGCGCACAGTCTGAATGGAGATTTGGTGTAATAGACGGAGATATGTGAATATAAATAACATTAACATTAAATAGTCATAGATGTCAATAAATGACGCATCACTTGCAATGTTTTTATTTGCATTATAATAGTTTGTTATTTACATAATAATTATGACTCCTCTTCAAGAAAGTCTGCTTGTTATCTGTACATAAATATTAAATCATTGCCACCCTTTTAAAAGATCTAACTATTAATGAAATCGGACATTTCCCTTTAAGAAACGTGGATCAAAATACGACAAAAAATTTTGACACGGTGCACCCAATTCTCTCATTTTTTTTTTCGTTTTTCAATCCAGGTTCCCATATTAAAAATATTCAGTTTATTAACAGAATACTCTTTTCTTTCTCTCTCAAACTTGAATTAAGTATAGTGCACAGGAAAGATTTTAATATAAGTGTAATTAACAAAAACTTTTAGTTCCCAAGATCCTGTATCTTGGGGACTAAAAGTCTGGCCTAGTTTGGGAACTGATAGTAATGTAGACTTTTTCTCTAGGAATATAAATTGTAAAAATTGTAAATTGTACTTTATGCAACTGTATCTCACTTGAATTATCTATTTAATATTGTATATTTTTATGTTTGTAGTGCAATAAAGAATTATTATTATTATTAAATCCAAATGAAGAGCAGTAGGAATGACCTGATTATGAGCTGATGTAGAAAATCTATTTTCTAAACTGTTTCGAACGCGTATTAAACCTGATATTTGATTTAAGAGATCAGAGACAATGCAGACAATCTTTACTAATATTAGAAATGTGAAAGTGAGTTTGTTTATTCAACCGACTTCAAAAAGAAGAAGGTTCTCAATTCAGCCGTATTTTTTTTGTAACCTCATAACTCCGTCAGTTCTAAATCGATTCGGAAAATGTCTTTTTTATCTGAAAGCATATACTGACTGATTGGTGCTATAGAAATTTTATCACAGTCGGTTTGTTCTAGAACAAAATCACTGATTTTGTTATAATTAAAGCCGTTTTTTATTTGTGGGACACAATCTTTCATAATAATAATAAAAGGTAATCAATACATTTGTAAAGTACTCGTAAGATAAGAAGGTTTGTAAAAATATTTGTATGTTTGTTATTCATTTACACTTAAATGTCTGAATGGATGTAAATGAAATTTCTAGAACACAGAAACTAGTTTTGTTACAATTGAAGTCGGTTTTTTTATGGACACAATCTTGTTCAATCTAATTTGTGACTTTATAACGCCTTAATGCTTTAAATAATTAGTATGAAATTTGCTATAAATGATCGGATCTAGAAGGACGTAGGTTACTTTTTATCCTGGCCAGCATCCTGTAATAAAAACCATAATCGACTAATTTAATGATTTTTAACATGTGACAATGTGACGACGTCACATATAATTCAATGTTAGGCGTAAATCTCTAACAAATTTCGTCCTAAGCAGTAGGGTATACAGACAGACTGTATTAAATATGGGCTTATTACTAATTATATACTATATCTATAAATAACATTAATATATTTTGTAAAGCGTAAATAGATAAAAAGCATATTTTTTATGTAAGGCACTTAAAACTGCCGCTGTCTTTGGAAGAACATTTTGCACGCTATTGTCAGCAAAACATGTTAGATTTATAAAATCTATCAATGAATAACCAGTATGTCTTTTTACCTACTGTGCACATATGTATACAAATATATTTAGCTTTATCTTTACAATAATATAATTAAAAATTGTGTCCTACTAAAAATAAAACTAATTTCAAATGTGACAAAACTAATTATTTTGATCTAAAAACTAAAGTAAGGAACTGGTTTTAATAAAATTTCTATTGGACAAATCTAAAAGTTTATCAACCTTTTAGATAACAAAAAAAGTTTCAAATTGGTTCACAACTGACAGAATCATGAGGTAACAAAAATAAAAAAATAAAAATTGCAACCGAATTGAGAACCTCGATCTTTTTGATGTCATTTGGAAAATTATTACTAGATTGCGTCATTTAAAAATTACCTCTCAGATTTTGACTAAACGGTATGGTTACTAAAAATCTATTACCATACCGGACATATATATTTTTTTATATGACTACTAATTAATACTATTTGTCAGCGGAGGAATCTATCATCATCATCATCGGGTCTTCTTGCCCGCCTTTTGTAGTGTAGGCGGGTGAGGTAGGGGTCTCGGGTTAAACCCCTTTACCCCGGCTGCATCTCCGGAGGCAACTACCTCCGGGTCGCTGGGTTCTTGAGCCGGCATAATGATGCGGCATGAAACTTACCTCTAAAGGATAAAACGGTGCCTGCAACGCTACACAGATGGCATTGCAGAAGTCTGCTATCGATATAACGATTATAGTAAGCCACTGTCTTCGTGTAAAGTCAAAAACCATTTTTCTTTAATATAAATAACACTGTACGAATTATAATATGACTTTAATTCCAATAGATCTACAGTCTATTTTCTCGATTTTATTATCTATATTTTATTATCATGTTGTTTATTTTTCTAAGATCTTTAACCCACGCATTATTTTGACAATAAATAATTTAAGTATATTAAGTCTAACTTAGTATGCCGCGGGAGAGACACTGACCATACGACCGCATTCTGGATACAGTAAATTATTACATTAAACGATAAATCAGTCTAATTATCAAATGAACTTTACACTGTACATATTAAATTGTTATACATTGCTAGCCAAACAATGGTGCTTTCGTTTTAATTAGAAAGTAACCGGCAATGTATAATTATCAATATTGTGAAGTTTGAGTAAATACCGTAAGTATAAGACTATCGATAAAGTAGGTAATGACCGCTACCAGTTGAAACAACAGTCGTAGTAAAACGTCTAGATACGATAAAAATGTAATTAATATTGTTTGTAAGTGATTTAATAATTGTATTAACAAACAGTGATTACTGTTTCCCATTCTCGTAAGATCAGTTGAGAATGGCAAATAGTGGTTACCGACGTGCACGAGTTTACTTAAACTTAAACAACGGTAGTAGATATCCCTCGTAATCATTGTAATACCTATACTGTGTTGTCGATTAGGTACTGATAAAAACTTTGAATATATGCTAGAAATATACCCTATCAGTTCGACCTCCACGTGATCACCCCTGGAAACCAACTTCTGATCTGCTGAATTCCAGGTGTTATCATCGTGATGGGCTAATTGGCCTGCCCTTTCATCCTCACTTATCACCACTCACTGGTGCCCCGCCAGCGTATAGCGTTAGCGCAGGCGGGTTACCATTCCATTATCATCCATTAAATAGCAATATTTATATTTATTAATCGCCGTTTAATTAATAATCATTGGTTACTAAATATACGTTTTTATACAGAGCTCTTGTTTTTATATCAAAAATTATTAACGTCTGCATTATCAGTTGATTTTGGTCGTCTTCAATTAATGATGAAAATCACAATACTTCCATTTTACATATATCTCCGAATATTACAGATATATAAATAAATTCTTAAATAATATTTAAATAAACTTGTATTGATTTTTGCATAATTATATATACTCTTATGACTCGTGATTAAAAATGAATAAATAAATATTACTAGAATACACCAGAATGCTTATGTTACCTCTCATGCAATGCCATTCCTAAGAACTATCGTGCTATACTTTCATAGCCTATAATTTCACTGACATATCTTACTAATCTTTTAAATCGAACATTGTTGGCAAAAACAAACATACAAGAACAACAGGGACTGAGACAGTCATCTAAATGAATCAATGAATTCACTGTGAGTTAATATGGTCCTTTATTAGAAAGGGCGAAAAATGTTTATTTTTACCAGGAATAAAATATCTATATAGAATTTATCATGCAAAATTATATGAAGAAGTTGACTCGCTTTTCTCGAAGCATCTGTATGGAGATACTCTATCTATATAATCTATACGTATTATGTAATTTTAACATCAAATTTACGTTTCGTTCGGACCCGAAATTTAAGAAAATATTTCATAGTAGGCCCTCAGATTACATTAACCGGTTTCACGAGTAAAATGATGTAGTGATGTCATGTCTCCGCTTCCGAAGATAATTTAGGTAAATTATTATAGTCTACCTAAATGATAACGTTAATTCCTGCCTGTTATAATTATAAAAAAAGGCAACATGTAAGTCTAAAAGTTAATATTTATGGTAACCGTAACAGATATAGAAATGGAAATGCAGAAAAACATTATACCTGAACATTGTTTCAAAACAGGATTACAGTAATGTTGAGTGAAAAAAAATATTACACTGCATATTGTCAAAGAAAGATTTAATTTTTTTTGAAGGATTTATTACAAACTTTTAAAAATTGGACAGGACTTTTTTAATGAGTGAAAATGATTTAATAATAGTGGTTGGCCTCACCTATCATCTCCCACTGGTGCGCCGCCCGCGGTGTCAGTATACACTGGCGATGCACCAGTGAGAGATGATAGGTAAGGCCAACTGTTAAAGCAGATTAGTTGGCCCGTCGTGACGAATTCAATAATTATTAACTACGATGGTTTCCATGTCTGCCACAGATTATTTCATAGTGACTTCGTCACCAGTATGCTTGCCTTATATTATGTGAATAAGATCATTGTTAACTTATGACGCTGGTTTTGCTAATTACCATGAAGTGGGAATCCTTCCGTGTACTATTTACTCTGTGACATAGTTTCAGTAATAACACGGGCATGTTACTGTCGCGTGCAACCGACAGGTTTCGAAAGAAGTTAATGTGAATTCTCCACTTCTGTTTACCATTTAAGGTTCCATTTATAAAGTCATTCTCATCTTGAGTCGTGTTGCAACTGTATAACGGTCACACGGGTAAAATCTGTTGTTGGCAAATATAAAAGCTATATTTTTATGCTGTTTTTTGGAGTAAAATTTTAAACAGTTTTTAGCAGTCTTGATTAAAACTTATTAAATTTATTGTATTATTTTTAGTCTTATAATAAAATTATAACTAAACGATGTTTGTATATGGCCGTATGGTCCCGGCATAGAAAAGGCTACACGGACCAAAGGATAAAAATTACTAATTGGTGAAAAATAAATAAAATAAAAATAAATTAATTACAAAATATAGTTATTTTCATACTAAACAAATATTATATATCTGAATTACTTACTAATAACTTGTAGGCAGCAGCGTCCCTCTTAAAACATATCTAAAGCCTAAACGCGGTTGCCAATCTTTATGTTCAGCAGTGGACCATTAAGGGCTGATATGATGATGATGAATTCTTATACTAGCCAGTGGGTGGGGAAGACAAAATAGAATTAAACTTATTTTAGATAAGAAAAAAAATGCAAAATTTCTTTTTTGATAATTTTTTGAGGATTACTCCAGACCCAGACATGATAAAAAAAAAAAAAAATATATATATATATATATATATATATATATTATAACTAAAATGTATAGATATTTCTATATATTATCTACCCCTAGTTCTGACTGCGAGCCCGCACCAGATAATTACTATTGGCATTGGCCAGCGAACACTAACCGCGGTACAAAGTTCAGAAGCATCGCAAGGGGATGTGCTCCCGTGACATTTGTAAATCCGCCATCATTGGCGGGTTTCATTTGGAAACGACGGGAGAGACTCCGCTCATTTAGTCCGCCAGATTTATGCAGCAATATGCTGCATTTTACATTTCACATTAATTATAGGCATGGATAATCGCAATACCGCTCTAATATCTAGGTGTATATTGGGTTCCTCTACACCTTGATGTTAGAAAAAAGTCATCACTTATTTCGATATTACCTGTACCGTTCGGATATTTACGAGTATATGCATAAACTGCTTGGATTCTTCATTTCGACATTAAATATTGGATAAAATTTATTTAACATATTCATTATCGGTTCTGTATATAGATATTGTAACTAAAACATATAGATATTGCTATATATTACCAACCCCTAGTTAATTTTGTTATTATGCCCACGTACATACAATAAAACTTAAAATTTTTTAAACAGACATATTTACGAAAAATTTATATCTTAATAGAATGGAAGCCAAACAATATTGTATTTTAATATTCAGACGAATGTCATATTCATAATTTTCACGTATGTGAAATTTGGCGATATTAATTTGTTTGGCAATCTGGTATCAATAACTAGGTGTACTTGATCAAGATATTTGTTAACTAAACATGACGATGATTGTATGATAGAAGTAGAAACTCGGGCAATATTATTGCGCAATTTAAAATGTACAAAACAGTAAAATATATAGAATAGAGTAAATATTTTTATAAATTTCATCAGATTATTATCAGAGAGAGACTTTGTACAACAGTTGTATTTACTCGTGCATAGTTGTATTTCGGTTTAAAAGGTGAACCATGACAGTAAAATTACAGGATATCGTGGTATCACACTATGATTTGGGGGGGGAGGTTGTTGTTAGTCATGTGGACTACCAGTCCCATTGTTAGCAATATGTCAGGTCTTCCCGTGGTCCTCCTGGATACCATCGTGCTTATTTCCAAGTGTATTCATCACGATTGGTTCACTGACCTGCCTTTTTATTGTCACCTATCATCCTTCATTGGTGTTTCGCTAGCGCATACTGTTAGCGCACACGGGTTTACCATTCCATTATCATCCATAAAAAAGTTATTATTCTCACGAACGGCAACGTATAGATATCACAGTGTATGTAGTCATGAGACATAAAATTTTTTTGTTGTTCTTCATTCATCTCTATAGGCTACGGTTACCGCTTCCCATCACGTGGACCGCTAACTTGTTTATCATTCTAAGTGTTAAAAAAAATTAAAGTTTGGTATTTTAAATGCAGTTTTTAATAGTATTTATTTCGCAAAAGCAGTTGTTAGTGGTAATAATAAAATATGATTACTCGGATTTATTTTTAATATCACGTCTAATTGTTTTACTTATACAAATACGAGTTCGATCGCTTCTGTATTTAAGTTTTTCTTTATTTCACTACTAATTACTTAGGCTTATCAAATAATTTCGCTGAGAATATTCAGTAGTTAAGTAATAAAATGACATATTGTAATTTTATTAGTACTTGTATTAAACATTTACTGTCTCACTACAATATATATTTAAAACACCGTTTGCCTAAATAGTGTTTAACAAAATTGTTAAATGTTGTTAAAAAGGTAATAATAATATTTATTTGTATTTTCAAATGCTAAAATGTATAGATTAATTGTCGTGTGGTCCCAACATAGATTTGCCCACCCCTTTCTTTCATGTGGGTGTCGGCAACTTATTCTAGTCTTTGCCTGCGTCATTAGTGGTAAAAGTGCGAAAGAAATAGAGATATATCTGAAGATTACTTCGTATAAACTGGGACAATTTATATAAAGCCGCAAGTTGTTGCTATTAATGCCAAGGTTAGCTCATTGTCGCTGAATGCCACTATGTCCAAATTCGTGGTCAACCGATACCAAAACTTAATTTAGGATCTCTTCTTTAGTCCAAGGTGACTTTCTTTATATACATAAGATGAAACCTTAAGATTTATGAAACCATAAAAATAAACTGACAAACTTTCAAGCCTCCGGTCAACCTGTTTAATAAGTTAAAAGTCTGTTTATAATTGATTACTTTTCTCCATCTAAAGGTTGCCTGGAAGAGATCGCTCTTAGCGATAAGGCCGCCCATTGTTTTCTCAGTGTAGTCTTTTGTTGTAATTATTTGTATTTATAATAAATTTACTAATGTTATCTTTTGGAGGAAACAATGAAGAGTATCTGTCTAACTATTGACACGACAGAGTCCTTTCTAGGGACACGCCTGCAGGGTACAAAGAGCAGCCATTTTTTTTGTATGGAGTGCAAATGGGATTTTTTTTAATGCATGATTAATGGCATGGTAACCGCGCCTGTGCTAACGGTATACGCTGGCGGAGCACCTGTGAGGAATGATAGGTGAATATTGAAAAAAGGCAGGTCAGTCAGCCCATCGTGATGAATACACCTGGAACTCAGCACGATGGTTTCCAGGGGAAACCGCGTGGAGGTCGATCTGACAGGGTATATTGTTAGCAATGGGACTGGTAGCCCGCATTACTAACGATCCCTTCCCCCCTGTGCAAATGGGATTATAACGCTGTTTGCGTTATCGGTATAAGCTGATGGGGTTCCAGTGACGAATCATTAGAGATGATGAAGTTAGGTTACTTGGTCTGGTGAATTCGTGGGAGTACAGTGAGGAGATCGACAAAAATATTTGTGAAAAAAGAGTATGAAATTTTTTTTAGTGCAGGAACAGAGTTGATCTTGACTTTGACCTTGAAATACCTGAAATGGCTGAAATTATTTTAAACATATGTTATATCTTAATTAATTAAAACTAAGCGATAATACGGGTAAATTTTTTCCCGTAAAGAGGAACGATGTTTTAATCATAGCACCACTGATGAACGATGAGATACATATTAAATATATTTCACATTGAAATTATATTCTTTTTTTATGCAACAAATGGCAAACAAGCTGACGGCCCACCTGATGGAAAGTGGTAACCGTATCCTATAGACATGAGCAGTACCATGGACATAACAGAGTACACTGTTTCGTCCATGATACCTCTCATGTGTTGCCATTCCTGAGGACTCAGATGTTATTCCTCTGTACTCTGTAAATTCACGCCATATCCCACCCTTCAAACCGAAACACAGCCATGCAAACACAACTGCTTTACGGTTGAAACACGAATGGGACAGAGGTACCCAAGCAAACGACTTTTGTACAAAGTCTCTCTGGTGAATGGTGGTGGTCATTTTATTTTAGAAAATATTTGAATATATAATACGATATCTTGTATCTGGAAGTAAATTTTACTCAGCAAAGAACAACAACAATCTATTCAATTCAATTTCAATTGTCATATATATAAAAATGTTAATCCCAAGAAAGCCGAAGTAAGCCCTATCGATTTCAAAAATAAACATATGGAACACGTTTTATTTATTTGAAATTTATATTTTAATACCATTATAACACAAAAACCTATTAAGTCTGAGGGTTATAAATGCTGTTGGCTAAGAAGTCATAATTGTTTCGAATAGTTGCGTGTGTTACATGACATGACATAACATAATGGGCGGTCAAGAGATTATTAGTACGAGCAAGTATCATGAAATTTGATGGACAATAATTATGTTCTACGATTCTTTTGATCCACACACATGGTGTTAGTAAATAGTTTGTGTTAGTGGGGGTTTAGCAGAGGGATGTCGAAAATGGTACTCGAATAAAACTCATCGGCTTGGGCTTTCACTTCAAACAAACGAAACGTGCGGCCGTCCAACGCTCCGAACGCGTCCATTGCCAGCTGATTCTGTCGTACAGCGGACGGACGCGGCTAAAATCAAATTTTGAACTGTCAATAACTTTTGTATTTTTATCTATTCATGTTATAAAACCAGTGATATTGTGTGATAAGTTATGAAATGAATTGTTTATAATAAAAAATATTTAAGATTTTAATATAAAAAAATATTATAATTGATAACGAAAAAAGAAAACTATGAAAATGGCTTATAAATACATTATATCATTATTGGTTTTGTACTTTGCTGTATTCTGCCACAATGGTGAAGCCGCTGAAAATGATAATTCACTCACAACACGTAAGTAATGAAATAATTATTTACTGGTATTAATAAAAGCTAATAAATATAAATTTGTAATACTACTTTTCTCTCCTTATAAAAAAATTCTGCAGATAACAAAATTACATAGTTCTTATGATATAAAATATAAGATGCCAAACTCTTAGTACACAATTTAGTAAACGGTAAATACCAAATTTCAAAATATCGAAACTGCATTTCATCTTGGTTTAATTTGGTCACTTTAATCTGAAATAAATGTGAAATTCACCAGTCGCAGTCAAGAGTCAGGGTTGAGTTTCGATATGTCTGAATTATTAATTAAAAGAACCGAAAGACCAATCTATTGCAAAAACAAATTATAAAAACAGAAATTACGTCAGCTGCACAAAAAATATTAGACGAATTTAGACTCTCTTCTTGATTCCGATTCTGTTGTATTTATTAGAAAAAGAATCTTGAAATTCTATATAAAGCTACTGAATATATTACTTTGATATATATCACCGAAGTAGTTATTTTAGATCCCTACATAATAAACAACGATTATTGTTTTTTACCATTATGTTGGTTAACAAAGTGATTTTTATTGAAGTTGGTAGCAGTATATGATACAGTGTTTAAGTGGATACCAATATTGTATTTAAATAAGTATTAGGTAATATATTGTCTGCTTGGAACTACACTTTGACTTGGTGTACGCAAGGTGTCGAAACTTTTATTGGGTAACATATGATTAGTAAGTGCGATTTGCGAGTTGTAAAGATTAAAATATAATTTTTTTAAAATACGTCGCTTTGCGACGCAATATTATAATACTTTTAGGCATATTGCATAGTTCTTTTTTAATATTTATATAAATAAAAATTACTCTAATTCCTTTTTTTTTGACAAATATTCGTTAAACTTCAAGGAAGGTGTCTGAACAAAGGTACAAACTTCATTTGGACAAAAGCCCATACAAATTGTTCCTAGTTGTAACATACTGCAACAGTCCAATAAATTTTGACAGAATGACGTCAATCCGAATAGCTGGTATTAAATAAAAATAATTACATTTAATTTAAATTAAATACATACAACCATTAATTGTTCATGTTAAATACAACCACAAATGAAAAATCGGAACTTGTGATAGTGTGCAATATAATAGAATACAATAACTAATACAATAATTTTTCTTACTATAATCGTACTCATCGTAGATAGACAATATTTGTTTTTTTTATAAAATATAAACATTTCAATGAACATTAATTAGTATTTTAAATATATTCATTATTTCATCATATTGTAATATCTAGTGATATTATTATATAATGCAATTATTTTTATTCGACTTTTACATAATAAGAATGTACTGAGTATATATTGTAACTGTAGCAGAGCATTAACAATTCTTTAAACTGCGGTATAAGCGTGTATTTGTTAAAAGAAAAGTTAAGAGAAAAGTTTAACTGACTGTGCAATAAAGCATTCGATAATGGACAATTTGAAATTTTGCGGGGTAAAAATTTATATTTTATTTTTACACATCTGTCCAAAAAAAAAGTGAAATGTTTTTAGGATTTATGTACTATATATAAGTTTATTTTATACTACTTTAACTTCCAAAGGTCTGAACAGGGGTGTTCATTTTTGTGTGTTTCTTCATACCAAAATCCGCCTAGTAAATAGAGCTTAAAATTTCATTAGTTATAAATCCTACTGTAACAGTCTAAAGGAATGATAGATTAACATTTTTTATGTTTTTAAACAGTATGTATTACGTAACTTTAACATCAAATTTGTGTTTCGATCAGCCCCGAAATTTCAGGAAACATTTCATGGTAGGCCCACAGATTTGTATGTATGGGTATAGTTCGTGTTTAAGCGCAGCAGTCGTGTTTTTTTTAATTTATGGCGACAAATGTAATCACTGTGTCACCCACGGTACTTTTCATGGGTTACCATTTCTGAAGACTATGAAGATATGCCTCCATGGTAATTTAGTATAAAGTATAATCAAATATATGTATGTGCATTTATGGATTTTTTCTAAAATTTATCAATCAAAACAATGAAACCATGCAGTTAGATTGATATTTATAAGTTATTAAAGGTTATCATATATTGAACAACAATTTTATTTCTGTAACGATTTATCGCTTCATTTTTGTTAATTGTGGAAAATATGTATATAAAATAATGTTACAAATGATAAATATTAATGCGGCATATGTAGAAACTATTCCTTTTTCGAATTCAGTTAAAGTTAAGTATCATTATGGGGTTGAGATTATGAACACCAGATAATTCTGGACTCTATTAGTATATAGAAAGGGTAGAAATTTGTAGTAGACTTACGTCACGTAGAAAGATGCTTGAGTGCCCATAATATATAATCTATTCACATTATCATAATCTTTATTTTAGCAATTATCTGTACACTGCTGAACATAGTCCTCCCCCATAGGTTGCCATAAGGAACGGGAGCGTTTCTTATGGCAGTTTAAGAATAAGGGGATTTTGTCAGTAGTTGTCATGCTTGGCAGGCAGATTGTTTGGAGATGTTTGGAGTTTGAAGATGTTTTAAAAGAGACGCTGCTGCCAATCTCTTAACCATTAAGTTTCTTTAGTTGCCTCTTACGATACCCACGGGAAAGGAAGATGTGACAAATCTTATACCATTAGGTATCCACAATATTTACGATTTATTTTGTTTATAGAAAGATAAAATAGTTTAACATCAAAATAAAAATAATAATAAATACCGAAGTTTCTATCCAACTGATATTAAAGTAAAATTTATAAAGAAACCACGTAACACCTACTTATACACATACAAGAATTTACAGGTAAATTAATTATTTATCTGTTTATTTATAACTCTAGTATAGAAAATATGAAAAATACGGATTTAATGCTGAAAGTATTCTCTCCCAGTCAACCTTAAGGAAGCGACAGAAAATTCGTATGCTGTACTAGAATTAATTAATACACATACATACCATTATTTACGCAGGTACATAGGTTGATTATGTATAAATAACAAATATACGTAACTACACATATTCATGATATACTATATTAGATAAGAGGATGAGAAAAATAAGTATTATATATATAGGGTTGACATCTCTATAATTTGATAACCAGGACAAAACACGTGGAAGCCACAGATTTTAGAGCCCAAAATCCGGACATATCAACAAGCTTTTTAAACATAGTCAGAGTAATAAAAACAGTTGAAAATGTTGTAAATAACTTTTATATTAATATTCAAACCTTTAAATTAGAACAAATAGAATCTTATTACAGTTTGTTACAAATTGTTTTAATAATCAGTTAGAATTTTTTGAATCTGGACTTGTTTATACCCTCTAAATTAGAACATTAGAACAAATCCGGGGAAACCCGGACGGATGGCAACCCTATGTTAATAGTTGCTTTAAAACAATAGTTCTTAAAATTAGAACATGAAAAATAAACATACTTAGGAAGTCCATACAGATCATACTCGTAGACAATTATAACAAGAGATAAATTATATTTGCTAATTAGTTCCCCTTTGACATCCAGTAAGTTGATTAGATGTAACGTAATGCCATATATAAAATGTTAATTACTATACAATTATTACTGTTCTACAGAACAAGGTATCAGTTCAGTGTATTATTTAAATATTGGCACTGCCCTTATATTGAAGGGACTAGAAAATAAATCTGTGTAACCACCTAGAAATATCAATACAATAAAATAAATGAATATTCATAGTATTGTACAATTATTTATAATATAATTTTGTTTAAAATATGGATATCGATAAGTATTATAAAATGTTGCTACTTTATAGCGCATATTTTTGAAATTTAATGAATTGACTTCTTAGATTTCGTACAAATGTTTTTTGTTAGAGGTGACGCGATCCTTTACGATTTTTATAGAAATCTATCCTTAAATAGTTTTTGGAACATTTTTATCGTAACGGAACAGGCAAAGGGTCTTCGGAAATGCAGCTAGTGATTGAGATTCTTTTAAATGATTATTGCGAAAACCAATAAATTTAGTCAGCGTCCATTAGTTGTGTAGGTACTAAAAAAATCCAGTTTAGGCCAATAGGTCGAACTTCCTCCGACCGTGTGGCTTATGAGGCACTTAGTATTTTAGTGTTAATGGCAACCAATTTTCTATTGTCACCGGGAATGATTTTAAAAGCTACTAAATGACCCATCCGTGCCAAGGTCTAGAGTTTTATGAGTTTGTTCCGTTGACGAAATCAAGAAGTGATGTATTCTGCAAACAATTTCGATGTACCTTTGTTTGACAAAACCTGTCCGTAGCGTTTGCTAATATAGTCACGTGATTTGGCTAATATTTAACTTATTTTGTATTCTGTATAGTCATTATGGCCATTTGTATTTTTATGACCAAAAAACAGGTACAAAAGACATTATAGATTGTCACATAATAAACATCTGCAACCAAAATGGCGTAACAAGGTTTCTTTTTATTAATTTTGAAGAAATTTATGTTGTAGTCTCTAGAGAAAAGTATACATGACCACAGCACATGTGTATTAGGATAAAAGTTACTTGATGAGTTGTAGTCAAAGATTATGATCTTTTGTATGTCAAATTTCATTTAACTATAGCTTGATTTATTTATTTATTATTTATTGATTAATGAAATGTGATATAAAATACCAACCAATTACTGGGAAGCTTAGAGTTGCTCCAATAAACAATATTTGTTTTACTCAACAAACAAACAACATATATCAAAACATCTTCACACACTTTCATAGTAATCGTAGGATAACTATCTCTCTTTAACAACTGGTTAAATAGACACAGACTTACGTCTGTTATTGATTATATATACAACTGTTTAAGGTAAAGTTCATTGTAGTTTTTATCATTTTTTAAAACAATTATTAATTTATTATTTACTAACGAATAATAATGAACAAATATGTAATTAATTATTCATTTTGTTTGTGTACATATTCTTAATTTTTATAATCTGTATCATTTTTT